CGCATGCAAGTGCCAGCTGAGAAGCCGCGTATGAAATTGCATTCAACCGTCATCTGACAACAAGATGTTGCGTTCTGACGCGGGGCTCATCGGGGGCCGGAGGAGGCCAGAAGCCATAAACACCTATCGACGACGAATTTTCCGGGGCATCTCTGTCAGCAGGCCGTGGAAAGCCCAAAGACTCCAGACACTGCAGCAGACGTTCCATGCAAACCCGAGAGCGCGGTCATTCTAATTGGCGTTGTACAGCAGCCAAGACACACCAGTTGTTGGTTAGGCCAAGCATGATCATCATCGCTTCCCCCCCGATCAAGAAAATGCCCGGAAAATTTATGAGAGAAGGATGGCTTCGCCTCCAACAGCCCCACACAGGCCAATAAGTCCTTGAAATAAACTAAAAGCCAACTGCATATTCTGGATCTCGACGCCCTCGCGATCCTGATAATTTGTTTCCTTAATTGGTCCTGTTTGAATAGGAGTCTTCCAGGATCTCAACCCTCCGTTCAGATCGGCATGGACACAAGATTGTGCACAGTTGCACGTAATGTAAGCAGACAATGCTATGAATGAGCCAAAGAGCAGTAACAGAGCGCATCGCATTCGAGATGGGCACCATCAAGAGCACTGGGCACCATCAAGAGAACTGTGCTGCGAAGTTTTGCTGAGTATGGGTGCTCGAGAGCCCGCTCTAGATACCCTCTTAGCCCACTGCGCGCAGCTTGCCACCGAGTTCCAGGATAGGAAGAAGTGTGGCGGGTTGGGGGCCTATTCTCGGCCACTTTTTCAAGGGACTCCGGAGAGTAGGCGCGACCAGAACCGATTAGAGGTGAGATTTCAGGGGATTCCCGACTACCAGGCACATCCAGGCACAGGTCGCTTTCCAACACGTACTTGGGTGGGCTGAGAGCGCTGGTGATACGCTTGGTCAACTATTTCTCTCTCAGGCCTGGACAGATAGGTCAATGTGAAGTAACCATGTGGCTTCAAAGTGGGTGAGAGCTAGCAGCCCGCACGGCTTTGCAGGCACCAGGTGGGCTCACAGGCCCAAAGCGGGTGCAGGAAGGTTCGGCACGATCTTACTGCTCATAAACCATATAGACCCTGGGTCCTACGTACCATGTGTTGTTTGTAAAGCTCATATATGATACGCTTATTCTCGCCGATACGCCTGCAACACGTGGTGCATCATGTTGTTAGGCCTTGTTGAGCTCCTAAAGCCTGAGCTTGAAACCTCTCATAGGCTGATGCCAGGCCGTTGAGGGCAAATGCGCCCGGCATCACATTTGAACCAACTCAAACATGGTCCTCACTATGGGGATGTAAACGTAGAGTGCGTGATGATTGAGGGCATCTGAAAGTAAGCCTTACACAAGCTGTACAACTCACGGTTGCAGAGAGTAAGGGCAGACAGCAGTGATGAATCAAACTGAGTGCTGGTAGCTTCCACTTTGTGATTTTGCTTATCTTCTGGCCCTCTGGTCCAAAGGAGCCCAAGGGCAACACTTACAACTTGCCACAGAGCATTCATTGCTCTGCTAGGCTGCGGCACGGAACAATGCCAGACATGCATCAGGCTGTGGAGCGCACCGTAATGAAGTAGAGAATGGTGATGGTCTTGCCATACCTGGCAGCTATATGCTAAGGAGTTGTAAGGCAACGCAGCAGTACGCGCACTCTCCACGAGACATGAGGTAGACCTGACTGGCAACATAGCTGAAGATGCACGAAGGCATGCAGACTCAGCAATGCTGGTCTTCGTGCAAAGAACTAAGACATGGGCTGCCAAAAACAAGATGTCAGTCACAACCAGCAGCACCGGACAGCCCCGTAGAATTGTGCGTGCCTCAAGATGTATATGAGCGGCCAGTGGTGATTTGCAGTATGCCCTGTGACTACGGATTTAAAACATGTAGGCTGCCCACCCACAACTTTGGAACACGCTCGGCCTCACTGCAGCAGATGTAGCATTCACGGATATTCACGTCAAATGCAGAAACACTTTCCAGACTCCAAGCGCATTTCCGAACCTTGAAAGCGCTGAGAAGTACCAACCGGACAAGTTCTACAACTATTCGGCACCCGTCAGCAACGTGGGCTGTCTTCAATATTTTTGTTCCTGGAACTCACCCTAGATTTTCCCCCTGCATGCTGCCTCATGAGGTAAAAATAAACTGAGGGATGCAAGCATGTAGGAGGGATGCGCCTGATGCATTTTCATTGTCTCAGCCGCTCCCGCAGCTGCTTCTGAGGGTCGTTGTCATCTTCATTTGGATCTGTGTAGAGGTAGGACTACCAAGCGTCGAAAAGAATAAGCTAAAAACTCCCAGTCTCAGCGAAACCGCAACTGATAATTGAGATATGGGGAGCCTGCATGCCTCAGATATACCATCCACAAGAAGACTTGCCGAGCTGGAATGGGCTATGCCCCGCCTGGACAACTCTACTAGCGTGCTGCTAGCGCGGATCTAGTGTCATCTACGGCTAAAATTCCTTACAGGAACGATTCCAAGCTTCCGATAGGTTTGGGTTCTTCATTGCTGCGGGCTGTTCTGCCTCGCAGGAATTTCTCCCGTGGATCCTCTGAGCGGCCTCCACATACATGCTTTAGGATCTTCAGACAAGTCCTCCCATCAATGTCGACCCTCGATGTGATGAGTCAAATGGTTCAGAAGGTTTTCAAGTGTGGTGCGCGTCACCGCATGCTGTACCCAAAATACTATCGCGGATCTATCGCGAGTCTAGCACCTCCTCGCGGACACTGTGGTTTCCCCTGCATGCCGCCTCATAGCGAAGAGGAAGAATTGGACCCCACAACAACCTTATACAACATTAAGGCTCATTAAGGTCTGTATGATCTTCCTTCAGAGGTATTTTGACCATTGCCCAGACCAGCTGTGCCGACAAGCTTTCTGCGCGTTCTTGGAACGCGTTTTTCCTTACTAATAGCTTCTGTACTCTTCGGTCATCACTGCTTGTTTCGCACGAGACGAATATTGTTGAGAGGTCCGTGCATATGGGAACACGGAAAAATTGTTTCTTAAGAATAGGAAAAGGAAAATTGAAAATCTGTGGAAAGATGAGGAGGGGAACATATCAGCCAAAAAATACGAACTATTTATTTGCTTCGAGCATTCCCAACCTAAAGTGTGGCTGTCCAACACGCGGGGCTGTTGACCGATTCTGGATAATCTTACTCAGCCAATCTCCCAGGACGTGAAAATTCAAGGTTTTGTATGGAACTTACATAGGGTTTGGTGGGGGGTTATAAGTCTTGCAGAGGGTTCGCCTGAAGGGTTTATAAGGGCTATATCGGGTCTCTTACAAAGCTGTTCAGAGGCCTAACATAGGGTGCGCTTAGAGGGGTTATTTATGAAGGTTCCAATGCAGGGTTCTTTTGAAGGGTTATAATGGCTGTAAAGGATCCCTTGAAGGGGGTAATACCTTTTTAGAAGGGCTGGATAGGGTTTTCTGTTACTAGACGGGCGCTATGAAGCCTACATATGGTCCCTTCAAAGGGTCTACAAGGGCAGTGAGGCCTAGACGGCATCCCTTTCAAGGCATCATCAAAGGTTGTGGGGTGCAGCAATCAGGCACTGCTGGGATACGCTGGTCTCTTGTACTGTGCGGTTATGCAGGGATACTCTGCGGTTGGGCACTGCATTTATGCTTTGGGACCACTGCGGGCATAATGTGCCGCTGGGCACTGCAGGGATACTCTGCGGTTAGTCACTGCACGGAGGGCGACAAGAACATAGACTCCTTAAAATCAAACTCTTGAAATGCAAGTGTTCTTGTCTTTCCCGACTTCATCTCATGCATAAGGCTTTACTTCTTCGGGCTTTCCATTGCACAGACCTCTTAAGCATATTATGCTATGTGGCCAGCATGGAGGCTAAGAAGGCACCAAACGATGGACTGAAGTCTTCAACCACTGGGGAAAATTCCCCGGCTCGGTCCGAAACTCAACAGATTCAGGTCATTCTTCCAGCAGGCCAGTTTGCAACTTGGAGTGGCAGTGGGGTCTGCGCGTACGTGGTTTGCAATAAGCTTGCCTTACAGTACTGTATCTCAGCAGGCGATGATGCTGCCCCAAATGCAATTCAGCATTTGAACGCACAGACATGAAATCCACACTGCTTACGTACAGCCAACCAAGCTTCTCAGCAAAAGGCCCCATCCGGCAGCACAAACTTTGACTGAAACTCAATCTTGGTAAGGTGTCCTGCGACACTTCTTGCTCTGATCAAGCTGTTCAGCCGGCACAGCACGATCCGGGGCCCGCACGAGCATGCCGCTCGGCACCCACCTGCGCTTGCGGGCGCGTGATTTACTGGAAATTGTAGAGTGGGAGAAAGTATCCACATGGGTTTCTGAGGTGCGTTGGAAATGGGTTCAAGTTCCCTGCCTGGCCTTGTCGTTAGGTTTGAAGCTTTTGGGGCTGCGGGGATAATGCTTATCAGACATTGACAAAGATTTGATCCGGGTTGTCCTTCTTGAGATTTCCGGAGCCCAGCTTGCATGCAAATGTACAGCCGGTGCTCCTGCACTTGTCTGGCTTGTGTTGAAGGCTGCCAACAAATTTCATCGTGGGGGGGCTCCAAGGTTGAAACCATGGGCCGCTAGTATGGGCCCTCAACCCTCGGATCCTTATATGCCTGCTTCTGCCTACGATATACCCTACATGTACCTTGAGGGGTCTAAGGGCCCTAGTAGGGGCTAATTCTTCTTTTTCTGAGAGTGATGCAACAGCAACCACTTGGTATCTCTTGGTGCTGGTACGGTCAAAAGACTGCGGTGGTCATAGATGTGATTTGGAGCAGGCTGAGGGAAGCAGCTTGCATATTTTGAGAGCTTCCACGGCAGGTGCCAACAAAGAAGCTCCGTGCATCGTCCTCCACTCAAACCGACTATTTGAAGAGTCCCCCGTGTTGCCTGCTGCTCAAGTCGGCAAGTTTTTGCGTGGTGCCATGCACTCTTTGACATTAGAAGATGAGCTTAACTTACAAGCATCCAGACTTATCCCAACTTTCTACCATGGCCTTCAGGAAGAAAACAAAGAACATGTGCAGGAGGAAGTACGCGTTGGAATACACGGCCTCGCTACGCAAGAATTTAGCATGCAAGCAATCCTGCAGGAAAAGCCCACCAACATCCCAGAAGGTTTCAGAAATCATAATCATGACAGCGTTGCTCCCGGCATGAACGGAGCAGTTGGAATGGTAACGACAACGACCTTCACCGAAGCATACCGCTGAGATCATGCGCAAGTTCCCTGACAGAAGTATCTGGGGGGCACACAAGCCCCTTTGTGATGATCATGTGGGCCAGCATGGTTACCATAGCTGCCCCAGCCTGTTGCAAAGATACAGGACGAGACCAGTGACAGAAAATGAAACGTTTCGATCGAGTCTCCGACCGACTCAGAAAGCATCATCGTCCCCACTAACACAAAGCCCTGATGCCAGATGATGCCAGTCAAAAGTCCAGTCGTCCCGTCAGAACCATCACCCTTTGCAGCTCCATTTTGCTCCATCCTCCAGGTTGGTGCAGACCACAAGCTCTGGCAGGGCGTTGGACAACTCGTCCAAATAACCGCTAGCCTCTAGTCCAAAATCTAAAAAGCGCGCTCTTGAGATGAGGACTTTTGAGGACTTCGAGAACCTGGCAATGTCGAGGCCCAGCAGCCCACCGGTCGCAGCAAGCACCTCGCAGCTGCTTCGTTTTGCTTCGTTTTGCCAGCACAGCTTCCGTCACTGGACGGCTGAGGCTAAACACCACGATGTACCAGTAAGGCCTGCAGCAGACCCCTAACAAATTTCCAGTCTATCATTGGGAGCACAATGGAGCCACTTTGAACAGGAAGTAGTGACCCTGCCCCTGACTAATGATTAGACACGCCAAGGTCAGAGCGGCAGCAGAGTCTCAGCATGTTGTGGGGAGAGTGACGGGCCAGTGGCCAACCTGCCTGGTCCGCATCTTATTGGAGAAAAAGTCCAGGGGATGGTAAAGCTCGTCCCCGATGAAGTTGATGGCTGCAAACCACACCTGCCGCGACAAAAGCGCGTTGGTGCAGCTCTGCCTTATCCTGGGAACCATTGGAACCTTACCCTACGAAAGATACAAGAACTGTTTTTTCGAGCTGTGGCACTGTGCAAAGGATAGGGGTTCGGTGCTTCACTGGACCATCCATCTAGGAAAAAGCCAGCTAAGATCCTTTGTGGCAGACTTTTATCCTCTGACTCAAACCCCCCTCCAGGTATTTACACGAAAAAATTCCAGCTGCTTTCTTTTGCATGGGGATGGCCCTGAAAGGGGCCAGAAGGGTGCTTCCATACCCCGTTTGCAGGGGATTGAGGCTTGTGGGCCCCGTAAGGCATAGTAAGGACACTGAACTAAGCTACGGGTAAGTGGAAGTTACTTTCAGACATGCTCAAAAAGACATCAAACTTAATGATCTCAGTGAAGGAAACCTTGCAAAAGCGGCCCTCTCTCTTCGGCCGCTCGATACGTTTGGTCAGCATGGCCAACAGAACGCATTTTAGCATAGTGTGCACCCAAATCCTGGATCTGGGCACAACTCCTACACGATCCGACACAGAATGACTTGGGGTTGGGAAATGCCTAATTGTGGGATTTCGGGCGGATCCCAGACTTCCTGTGCCTTCCGGGTGTTTTGATGACTCTCGGATCTCTCAACGAGATGGATGCTCTTCCCGCAAATTTGTGTAATCCCTAAGCCTCCTCAAACCCTGACCCCTAAACCCTGCACCTGAAACTACTTCACAATGTTCTACATTCCGGACATTCCATCCTCACATGTTCTTCATCTTGTACGAAGTCTCAAGAAGAATGCATTCTGATTTTTTTTTTACAATGGCTGCTTGTCCTTGGCTGAGGAGATCTAAGGAGGCACGGTGCCGTTAGCTTCAGGCTTTTCTCGTTTTGGTCGGTGTTCCTATCACTCCCGTGTCTGGGAGCTCATACGCGTATGCTGGCACAACAGCGATTGCATTCAAAGTGTCCTTTGCTGACCGTCCGCAGCTTGATTGACTGCGGCATGCTGAGAAACGGGCTGCTGCCAGCCCAGTTGTACCATAGGCGGCGTAGAAGCAAACCTTGGGTCAGTGACTGTGCCACTGGAGAAATCATGCATGCACATCGTGTTGTAGAATGAGGCCTATGCGCGGGAGGAAAGCATCCAGAAGTTGTGACCCTCTTCATTTGACTGCATGGAATACTATGGCTTTGTCCCGGATCCTGAACATGCAAACAACGGTAACTCCATCGAATGGTTTTGTCATGGGCTCGTCAGTTCTGAAATCATTGCAAATAGTGTATCACATCTACCTTTCTCCCTGAGTGTGGATACTGCCAGGTGGGGATGTGAGCAAGGGTCAGAGCTGCACGACAACTCCTCGAAGTCTTGCCATGACTGCTGTCATCGTGCTGCCTACTTGCAAGCTCAGCATGCTTTCTGAACTTTGAGCCAAACACGGTGCCTCAAATGTTGCAAATCCGTATTCCAGCATACCACAGAGTGCGCCACTCATCTTCCATAGCCGACAATGTTATCCCGCTGCAGCACTTTCCCGACGCGTCCGCTGCTTCCTCCGGGCGATGACTTTCGATCGCCGGGGCAATGCCGCCTGCCAAGCATCACAAATCATCACAATGTGTCATGAAATCTGCGAAATCTGTGAATTTTCCGGCGGGTCCGGTTGCACCTTCGGAAGCATAAGAGGTGACACCGACACTCTTTCCTGACTCTCGGTCGCTGTCTGGACCTGAGTTCAGCGCTGAGAACATCTGAGAACGCAAAGCGCTTGCTTGGCAACCAATCCCGCAACCTGTGACAAGCATCTCAGTCAGTCGACACTCTTGCTCTTTCCCTTTTTGCGCTTCCGACCCTGCCGAGGCAGAGTGCTTGCAGGTTGCATGTGCAGATTCAATGCATGCTGGCAGCTGCAGTGCAGAGGTGGCCTGTTTGGTGGCTTTCGAGCCAGGCTTTTGCGGGCTTGCCTGGAAAAGATACACGAATGCCAGCAAAAAACTTTGGGCATCAACCTAGTCTTTGGTACACCTCACTGAAGTACGCAGGGGCCATACAGCAATCTGGCATATCCAAGTCTAGAATCTCTAGCTGTGCGCCTCATCTGGTAGCAGAAGTCGAGCAGTCGGAACAAGGTCACTTCGCCTCCACACGAACACAGCTGACCCCATATGAGCCTAGGATTTCAGCCAGAACCTTCCTGTTTGTTTCCTCAAGGTGTCAAGGTCCCCTGACCGCGCCAGCTCATGCAAGAGCCCCCAAGATTTGGTTACCCCGGCGCCAGGGGACCGTAAACAGTATGCAAATTCCTTACCACATGCGGAAGAAGAAGCGTCTCTTACCTAATCTTACCTGGGACTGCTTATTCGATCTGTAGATTCGAGTCTTCATAGGAAACCTGTAGGATTGTGGTCTATCATCACTGACAATCATTCCCAGCAATATCCGATTCCGAGCTTGACAACTTGACCGACGTTTCGTTCAGTCAATTGCCTTTGGGCGAAACGCCCGGGGATGATTTCACTTCCGTTGTTTCTGGGCTGCTTGCTCAGCGCTCTTTCTAGGCTGCTCGTTCAGCGCCCTTCGGCCCGCCCCCCGTCCACCCCGGAGCTTGGACGACGCGTGATGTCTATTTTTCATGATGGTGCATCATGTTTATGTTGCATAACGGTCATAGTGCAACCATGCACCTAGTGGCTTGGCTTGATGGCAGCGTGGCAGAACTCCAAGATGTAGGTGCAACCATTATTCAGCCCGTGCTTTTCTTCCCCTAAAGCTGGCTCTTTTTTCACCTAGTAGGCTTTGGCAAACAGCCATGTCGAACGGATCACACTGTAATCTAACAAAACCGCTTACTGCCCCTTTCTCCTGTGCGATTGGTGCAACAAGCTGCCTTCCCATTCCCCAGTACGCACTAAGCCTCTAAGCCCAAATCTAGCAGATGACCCTGGCACAGCTCTGGCTCGCCGTAATTCCGCCAGGCAACAAGTGGGAGACAGTACTTTGTCAGTGCACGCGTTCCGTGTCTTCTGCAAGAGTGCAGTGTGAAACTTCAACAGCGCTGAAACTTGAGCATGGAATCGGGAGGAGATCATGCGAAAGCAGGTACAGGACAACAACAATCATCGCGGCTTCAGAATAAGACAAAGTCGAAGAATCACGAAACTTCGACCAAGCCTTCAACCATCAACGTTACCCGTCACCACAACCAATGCATTCGTCGAGCGCGCCGCCGCCACCGCCGCCGCCGTCACAACCACAACCATCACCTCCATCATCACCACCAACAACCGAACCTTGGCAACAACGGCTCTGACATCTGAACTAGCATTGAAGACTCCGCCTTTCCGGCCACACCGAACTCGACACAGCACAGCTGGACTTACACGATGCCTTCCTCCCAACTAGATATCATGCTGGCAGTTTTCCCACATTGGGACAGGACGCAAGGAGGACGCAAGGCAGAATATGACAGAGACAGAACCACTAATCTGAGACTACTCTGGAGGCAACACCAAGGTGAGCTGGATGCTCTTCCAAATTTCAATCTTGATGCCCCAGCGTTTGGGAATAATACGGGTAGCATCGCGACGCGACCTTACACACAAACCAAACCTGAAACTAGCTGGCCGCAACACCGAAAACCATGCTACACAGGCTACAAATGCACAGGCAACCAACCATGCCGCGGGTACATCTATGATTGACAGGATTTTGCTTGGCCAGCAACTAGTGGCGACCCGATGCGCTTTTTCAAGATGAACGACACTTCAACAACACGCTGGCTGACTTGGGTTACACATCCTGACGCACATTCACGACATCCACGCTTGCGGCTTCTCACCTGCAGTGGCTTGAAGGTTTCAGGAATCCACGACAAGGGTACCTGAGCAGCCCTAGTTTTGAACATTTGTTTTCTGTTGTCATTTACTCGTTCCAGGTTGTGCCAGTTGTGCCCTCATGGCGCCGCTCTCTTGCTACAATACTCCAACCACACCTGCGTAATGATAATGGTCATATATATTTGAGCCGACGTCAAAATTACTCGCATGGCCTCATTTGGTGTTTGAATTAGGGCATCCCCTATCGATCTTCAGGTTTCGGGCTCTCCCCTGGCTATTCAAACCTAGATAAGTTTTGCCTGTTGTTTTAAGACATCCCCTATCGATTTTTGGGATTTTTGCGCAACAGCTACCGCCTAGATCACGTTTGTAAGCCGTAATTTTGACCGCGACTCATGTAATCATTCATCTTTATGCCTCAGCCAAAGGCTGTGGCCAAGAGCTCTCGGAAGTGAGGTGTGAGATGGTGTGTGATCTTTTCCGATGTTGGAAATGGATTTGCAGGTTTGCGCAATTGCTGCTACAACTCCTCAGGCCCGACTGACCAACAACACCTGTCAATCAATACAAACTTGGACACTGCAAGGTACAGGCCGCAGTTGAGCACCTCCAGCCGCCTTCTCGGGGCGATCGACCCTTCAACGACGCGACTATTGCGCAACTGCGTGGCCTGTTTATGGATCATGCTGGAATTCACTCTGGTATGTGGCGTGCATGGAGCACGGGCTGGATGATTACCCGGGTATGGGTTGGACTACGGAATGAAAAGTGGCGCGGAATTTTCGGTGGGATTTTGTAGAAGAACACACGATTCCGTCAGCTATGGCACTTGGAACAGATACGAGTTCGCGTGACCGGCTTGAACTTGCCACTTCGCGTTCACGAAAAGCTCAGCTTCGCCTGTGTGCGCCAACGAGAGGCCATTTGCAGCCGAGAGGCCAAACCCTCTAGCGTCTCGCTGCACGAGCCAGCTACTCGAACACGAGCAGGCGTCGACGCATAGCCGTAGAAGACGAACAGTCCCTCCCGCTGATGTGACGGACCTTTGCATGCTCAACATCACCTTCCCGAACTTGTCCAGTGGG